CGCGGCCCGGAGCCGCCGCAGCACCACGTCGTCTACTTCCCGGGGGACGTGCAGGTAGGGGCCGCGAACGCCGTGCGTGGAGGCCGGGGCTGGTCCGCGCTCGCCGCCGTCGGGCATTCCCCGTGCGGATCGACTCTGGCTCGGGGGTTCCTTATTTTCCCTGTCTGTGCTCGGTGGGGCAGCGAGCAAGAGAGAAAAACTCTCCCTGCGGCTCGGTGAGGAGGAAACGTGTAGCTGTGTGTAAAATAAAGCCCGTCCCTGAGGGCTGCAGTGTCTTGTTTGTGGTAAAGCCATCGGTGTTTCTGCAGATGGGGGAAATGTAGTGAAATGATGTTTGTGTCGTATTAAGCTAGATAACACTTCTCTTTTCCCTTGGAGCGAAGTCAATGAGAAACAACCAGTACCTCCATGTGCTATTTCATTGTGGTGATTCTACATGGTAAAATTCTTAAGGTAGGAAAAGTAGTCTAAAAATGCCAGAAATTGGACAAATCATTGCTTAATCCGGGAGCAAGCAAACGCCTCAGTGATGTGGAGCATCTCTGTGAGCCCTCCACAGCCCATCCTTACAAATACCCTTGCGCAGAGGTACGTATCCACACACATATGTGCACGCGCTAGGCAGAGCTGAGGTATTCTCCCGGTGTGCTAATGCATGTTTTCTGCTTTTAAATTTTTCAGAACTATCACGAGGTCATGTCATGCCACCCAGAAAACTTTCAGTGGGAGCACTGGAGTTTTGAAAACGTTGCGACCATACTTGCTCACCGGTTTCCGAATAGCTTTATCTGGGTTGTAAAGTGTTCTCGAATGCACCTGCACAAATTCAGTTGTTACGACAACTTTGTGGCAAGCAACATGTTCGGAGCGCCAGAGCACAGCACCAGCTTTGGAGCTTTCAAGCACCTTCACGCGTTGCTAGCTAATGCGTTCAGACTTGCTCAGAACGTGCTGTTGTCCCAGAAAAGCACGTACGGCCTCAACAAGCAGCTGGGCAGCCCCAGCCGCAGCCCGGTCCTACGGCAAACGGCTGCTCGTCCGTGGAAAGAGGGAGGGACGGTGAATATCCCAGTAACTCTGCTGTGAACCTCAGCGCTCCGTCTGCTGTAGGTGCAGTGTCCTTTACTTTGATCGGCTTCAGCAAAGGCTGCGTGGTTTTGAACCAGCTGCTCTATGAGCTGAAAGAAGCTAAAAAAGACAAGAATACAGATGCCTTCTTAAAAAACATAAAAGCAATTTACTGGTTGGATGGTGGTCACTCTGGAGGAAGCAATACTTGGGTTACTTACCCCGAAGTGCTGAAAGAACTTGCACAGACAGGAATTGAGGTTCATGCTCACGTTACACCATACCAAGTGTTTGATACGATGAGATCATGGATTGGGAGAGAGCATGAGAAATTTGTACGGATACTTGAAGAACTGGGTGTAGAAATAGATGATCAACTGCATTTTGCAGATGAAGTTCCCTCCTTAGATAATCATTTCAGAGTTCATGAAGTATTTTGAGACTGTATGTTTATCTCTGTATTCATTGCAAAAGCACTTTTGACGCTGTAAATCTTGATTTACAACTGAGCAAACGCTCTCTGAAGAGTAAAACTAGATCAGTTTTGTGTTCTTAGTAGATACTGTGTATAAATTTCAGTGGCTTAAAGAAATGGGGGACTCCCTTATCTAGCGCATACGATGTCATCTGATTCCTGTCAAAATTGTTGGGAAGAACTGTGTGAATATTTAGGCTCGACCTGTTGGCAAATATGTTTAGCCCTGAATGTCCTAAGTAATATACTGTCTTTAATGGGAGTTTAAAAGTACTGGAGATACTAAAAAGTCTGGATATTTCTATTTAAAAGCTTCCAGGGCTGAAAAATTTTGTCTATGTCAGTAACAGATACAACTTCATTTTTTTGGCTTAGAGAAAATGATGATTGTTGGAGCAATTTTAGTTATATGTTGTTGAAAAGTGCTTTTATTTGGTAACTTAATCTTCCAGTTTTGTAACACTTCTTCTATTGAAAGAAAGTCACAAATATTTGCCTTTGGTTTAATAGTGCCAATTTAGTTGTTTTGTTTTGTTTTTTCCCTATGAGAACTTGAAATTTTTGTTAGCTCACTGCTTAGAATCTGGTAGTGAATAGCCTTTTTTTTCTGGGAATGGAAAATAGGATATAGCTATGTGAAGTGACCAAGACTATTGGTAAGGGTGGTGTTTATTGCTGTTTCAACACATCCTGCTCTTGCTTTGACTGGCTTCTATAGGACTGGAGGTAATACATGTATTTGCAATTTGAGGCATGTTTATGCCTTCTGTTCTAGAACTGGTGTTTTTTTTTTTTAGTTTGTTTGTTGCTTTCCTGAAAATTATGGTATTGGTGTTCATCCAGATCAAGCCATAAGTATATGACATATTACAAATTGCAGAAGATGTTTTAAAATGTTGACTCTAGCTGTTTCAAAATGCTTCAGTTTGTGGAACTGTGATCACCTGTAAATGTATTGTAGTAACTGCTTCTAGAGCCACCTCCCCCCCCCCAAAAAAAAAGTGCCCTCTAATTAAATACAAAGCCAGAAAAAAATTGATACACAGATGATGTCTTCTGATTCGAGCCCCAAATCTGAATATATTTCAAAAATAAAATTACTGCAAGGTGGACACAAGAGAGAAATACTGGAACTTTTCTACTGTCGTATGATTTTTTGTTTTGTTTTAAAACAAACAAAAAAAATCTCAGAGAATCACTGTTAAAGACAACTGCAACTATTCATGATAAACCAGTAGCTTAGTGGTTTGGAATTTCCTGAAAGTATAGAAAAACAGGAGTTAGCAAAACAGCGTGACAAATATAGCTCTGATTGGGAGGGAGCTGGGGAAGCTTTTTGTTCACTTTGTTCCAGTGTTTCATTGCTTAGCAACACCTTTTCCCTGCTCCTAGCTTCCTGCTCACTTTTATACTGTAGAAAGATGGATCTGGGTCATCTTTCCTCTGTTGACATCATTAAAATCATTACAATTTCCAAGATTCATCAGAGACCATATTTTTGCAAGTCTTGCACAGAAGTGTTAAGGGTGATAGAAAGGAATGAGCATATAAAAAGTCACTTTTGCAATATGAAAGTGAATTCTGTAGCTAAGAATAACTAGGCTAATATAACTCTGCTCCAAAGTAGAAATCTATTTTAAATGATGGAGAAAACTACAACATGCAAACAAACTGCAATTCTGTAAAAGAATCCAAAATATAATTAATAATCCTCGGAGACTCTATTCAACCTTATTTATTGCTTATCTCCCTGACGTATTCCTTCAAGGAAAGGTATTTCCCTCTCATGTTCTTTTGATAACACTTGCGATGGATGCCAGGACCAAGTAAATGCGAGTTACCTAACAGAGAGTTTTTACTAGTGAGCCTATAAACTAGTGGAAATAACTATAATCATCCAATGATAAATTAAAAAATGAAACAAAACCAAAAAACCCCACTGATCTTGCTCCCTGTCAGCTTCAGTATTCTCAAATTAACCAGTGACACTAAAATTTGCCCGGTCCAACAGTAATGCACCTCATAGAGCAGTATCAAAACAACTCGGTGCCAGCCAAAAAGCAGGTTGCTGCGAGCTTCTGAAAACAGCTGTTAAAATATTGACATTGTCTTCAAAGTTTCTGGATGGCTGTCTTATTAAAATATTAATCTGTTGGATGGAGGTAGTTTATAATAGATGTTAAAATGAGCTCAAGTTTTGGTGTATTACTTTGAAGACAAAGCACTTCCCTGAAAAACTAATCTTGGTATAAGACTTGGTGTTTCAGAGGGAAGACAAACTGTCTGTTTTTTATTCTCGAAACAGTAGTAGTGCTGCGTTGGAATGTGCCTCTGTCGTTCACTACAATGCATGCTAAAAATAAAACATGCAGACAGTGTAGAAAATACCCTTTCAAATGGGTGAAACCACTCCAATATGAATGGAAAATTGTTAAAAGAGGAATGTGCACCTAAGGTTTGTGAGTTATGCTTTAGTGCGTGTTTGTGGAGGTTAAAAAAAAAACACACCTATTTCATGTCAGCTTTTGTTCAAGGCACGCTTGGTACTTATGTAGTCAGCATCTGCCGTCAGTAAAGAGCTTACTGGGGTCGTGCCTGTGAGGGAAGGCTGGTGTGAAGTAAGCAAAGGGGTGAACTTTTCTGTTAGGGTCCACTGTTACTTGCTGGGTGCCTGTTTCTTTCCATAACAGTTTTACAATAAACAGAGATGTTAATAGAGAAAGTCAGGTGAGGTGAATTCCTGTTCTCATGCCTACTCCATAGGGGGTTAGTGCAAGGCACATTTCTGTTTTGGAATGGAATAAGCAACATCACAATTTGTGTTCTTAGTACACAAACTGTTTCTTGTATGTTATACAAGTCATTCTACATAAAAAAAAAAGTCAACTTCTCTGTCTTGAGAAATACTAAAATGTTTTAAGCTGCATATATTAAAATCCCCATAAAACAAGACTTTCTGTGAAATGACTGTCCAGTTCATATAACTTAAACTGCGCTACTTTGTGCTTATCTTAAATCCCAGTCACATAGTTAACCTTGTTCCTGTCTATGTCTAGCGTTAATCTTATCTCTGTAACTGCTGTTGTATAAATCAGTATCAGACACTAATTTTGAAATGTGGTTGTGGATGCAAGCCTTAACATGCTGCTGAAAAGTGCAATCTTTTTTGTCCTGACGCCTTTATGGTGAGCTGTTCTAGCTTGTGTTATTGATGATAAAGATAACTATGGAGTGCTGTGTGTTTAAATGTTCATAGATCTTATTTTAAATACATCTGCAAAGTCAGTCTTTCAGGAATTAGGATGTTACAGTTGTGGATATTTACAGATAAAGTAATGCATGATCTTGTTCTTAAGTGTTCCAAACATCCTTTTTGATCTGCAGAAAGAAAATATCACTATTTCTTCCCTCATCTAGTGCATCTCAAAGTGTTGTTGTTCTAATCTAACGGATACTTCGATGTCTCTGGAGAGAAACAATATTTGTTCTCTATGCAGATGGGAAGTTGAATCACTAAACTCAAAGTGAAATTCATTTACTCTGATGATTTTAAATTACATAAGGCCATATTGTTCATACCCTCGCTGCACAGATGGAACTGTGTGTATTCCCTATTTCCTGAGCTGTGGCTACTGTAAGGCCTCAAAGTGGGTACCTGTGAAATAAGCAAAGTAACTGGAGGTTGTCTGTTAAAAAGCTGCCTGCATGTGTCGGATATCATGTAGGAACACAGGGAGAAAGACCAGGCTAAAGTCAAATTCTCTCCATGGTGTCATTAAACTTGGTCAGAAGATGATTACTTTTTCCTTTCTCATTGGTAGTGGTCTCTTGTCAGGTAGTCTTGGCTTTTTTATTTCATACTTTTGACAGTAATCCAATTCTGTATGGTCACTTTGAAAAGACTTCATAAAATTATAAAACTAATTTGGACTTAGATGGCACTGTATATCCAGATTATTTTCTGCTTTGCAAATATGTTTCTGCAGTAACAGTGGTGAAGAACACAGGAAAGGTAAAGGCCTCATGTTTTGTGGTATTGGAAAAGTCAGGGGACGAGTCAATGGGGTTTGTGTGTTTTTAATCAACTTACATATTGTGCTGGCATAACTGTAATATATCATACTGTAGTACTGACTACGGCATTTGTTGCACTCTTGATAACACTGAAATAAGCTACAGTGCTGTATGTGTTTAATGCAGGATAACGTTGCACTCACAAACCAACGTAGGTGCATCAGCACCTGGCACAGACCAGTTCTTTAATGCCCCTTACTACAGCAGCCCAGAGCCTGGCAGCCCTTCACATACGCACCTGTACCAGCCTCTAGGTAATGTAAGAAATGCTGCCCTTATTTTCTAATGAGCCGAAACAGAGGAGTTGGAGTACCAAAGAGTTTGGGCATTGGTATGCGCTGCTGTGCACCAGCCCTCAGCTCCATCACGGCCTCGCAGAAGCTGCCGCAGGCGCCCGCGTCATCTGTATGGCCGCGCGGTGCAGAAGCAGAGGTGGGTGCCCTGGACTGCAGCTTCATCACGGCGCCTTCGCGGCTGACTTCTTCAGAGTCCTTTTAATCTAGCGGCGAAATTTCATTCCGTATAAAGGACTGCAGATTAACAGGAAAAGTTACTTCGATGGCTTTGTATCTTACTGATCTCTTAACTTTAATCTAAAATGCAAGATGTGTCTTTAACTTGAATAAAATAATATTGAGTCATGAAGTGACTTGTTAAAGATCATCTAACACCTATGTGGCGGAGCCAGGCAGTGTGCTTCTCCCAGTCTTAGACATACTTTTTCTGACCAGATTCATTCTGTCTGTATTAAAACAGCATAATTCCCTCTTCCACTAATAAAAAGCTACTCAATGTTAGCAATATTGTAGCCATGGTAGCTATATGTAATAGTAGTCACTATTGTACATCACTGAGTCACAGTGAGTCATTTTGCACATAGCCATAAAATAGTAATGGTTTTGTAGTCTTTTCCTCTTGTTAGGGCTTAATTCTTTCTAAGAGAATCTGAGAAGTGTCAAATTCTGTTTAAGCAAATGACCTGAAAAGCATTGGTTACATCAAAAGGGAAAATATATTCTCATGTGCTTTTCTTTTGTATGAAGAGACACATCACTTATTTGAAAAGTTGAATGCAAAGGTTTAGAATGGATTTTGCTTCTTTCAGCAGACTTCCTGAGGACACTTGCAGTTATGAGTGTCAGCTTCCCTTACTAAACTTGGCACTTCAGGTTTCTTATGAACGTGTTACTGCAAGATACAGAAAATAGTCGAGACATGCCAGGGTTGAAGGAGAGCAAAACAAGGTTTCTCGCATCTCTCGCACCAGATTTGCCCTCTGAGGAATTCTCCGATGTCCGGGCAGCAGATGAAGCTATTGCAGCCCTTACAGACTACCTGCATAGCTCTTCTTGCCCTTTTCTCATCCTGAAAAATACATTGAGTTTGTCTGATGGAAGCTTTAAGCAATTCATATACTTCTTGACATCTGAAGTAAAAAATGCTTTAACATCAACATGTCCTTTACTATATGGAATCTGCCTTAGAGGGAGATGGGCCCTGGGGGCCTATTGCTGCAGGCAGTAGCCTCTAGGCATTTTTGTCCGAACACTTGGAGCTGCACGTTTCATATGGCTGAGCAGATCTTTTAATGTTTTCAATCTGCTCTTAGAAACATTGACTAGGACCATATCCAAACAATTAAAACAGAAGTAAGCTGGTCTCATTGCTGTCAGGAATTGCCACGTAAGGAGATCAGATTCTATCCTCGGTCCTAGAATCCAACCCAAACAAAACAGGAAAACTAAACGTTCAACTTGTACTGCAAACTTACACAAGTGCTTAAAAGAATTAAGATTTCATCTTCTTTTATGGGAATGTTGGTTCCTAAGTCTGATAATGGCTTCCATAGATTGTCTTGTAAGAGTAGCTGTCTCTGAACATGTATCTTCAACAGTTGTGTTTTCTGCATGGAAACATCTACACATTTCAGATTTGGATAAACACATTTTGGCCAGAGGAAAAAAGAAAGATGTCTACACAGGTTTCAGGAGCTGTAAAGTATATTGGAGTCATGCCATATACAATGTAACCTCTACTCTCAGTGAAATCATCCTCATCTTAGTAGAATCAGTAGTCTCGCTGGGGGCCTATCGGCGTGAACAAAACAAGTAGTTTCCTCCTGTACTTAAGAAGGATTACAGATACATTCGGAGGCTTCATGACCAACTCGATCCCTTCACGTTAGGCAGTTAACTTGATGCCTGTCTTAAGAATTCAGGATCAGGAGGTGCTGGGGAGAATCACATCAGAATGCAGCAGTGCTCAGCATGCACATTAACATGTGTTCAGCAATGTGAATATTCCCTGGATGTTGATGGCACTTGTGTTTGCACTTGGTATTCTCTCCTGATTTGGTCAACAAGGTATTAAAGCACTGACACTTAGAAGAGATAGGGAATTCATATTTTTATGTTTTTAGATGCTCAGTTGCTAGAGATCTTTACTTCATTTTTTTAATTACATCTTTTGGCCACCTCAGTACCCTTTGATGGACACATTTTTAATGGCCTGTTTAAGAGTTTGACAGGAGAATATTTTGACATCATGTTTTCCTTTGATTTCTTTCCGCAGCAGCCATACTAAGAAAATTATAAAACGTATACCTTCTAAAATCAACTTGTGCTTTGTATTTCACTCAACCAAAAATAAATACTGAATTCTTTCCAGATGTTGGTTTGCAATTAACTTGATTACATTTAAAAGCATCAGTCACCAGTAATAAAAAGCCAGGGCCAAGTTTAAACTACTGATTTCAGATACTGTCGATATTTAATGATACTTTAACTCAGCTTTCTGTCCTGACAGTCTGAATTGCCTAGCTGCTATATTGAATATACTGTTCGAAATAATGGTTTTGAGTGCTTAAGACTGTCAATATTTTCTTAATGCTTTTTAATTTTTACATTTTTTTTTGTATTACTAATAACATTATACTTAAGAAAACACAGCTTAAAGCTTGCTTGTTTTTTTTGAATACCGTTTCAGAACAGCATATATTATAGAAGTTATTAAATGAAAAATTGAAGAGAGCGGTTTTTTTAGCGGTTCACAGTGAAACCTTGGTAGCTCTGACAAAAGAGTAACAATGCTTTGAACATACATGCTATAGAACAAGTAACATTGAAGCCATTAGCATCACCAGAGGGTTGCACAGCACTGAAATGCATTTGTTCCACAGAAATTTGTTAACAGTGAGGGTGCCAGAGCACTGGAACAGGCTGCCCAGAGAGGTTGTGGAGTCTCCTTCTCTGGAGATGTTCAAACCCGCTTGGATGCAGTCCTGTGCCACGTGCTCTAGGTGACCCTGCGTGTGCAGGGGGGTTGGACTAGATGATCTCTAGAGGTCCTTTCCAACCTTCTGCATTCTGTGATTCTATGATTTTCATTCTTTTACTTTCTCCTGTCCTCAAGTATTCTGCTAAGTGGCTTTTACTTTCCTCTGCTTCTGGAGAATAGCAGGTACTTCTTACAAGCAGAGCCACAGACGGATCACTCATACACTGACTGCTGCTCCATGAAGCTTTTCCTTATTTCTGTTTGATGAGGGAGGACACCAAGCCAGTCCCTCCTCTTTTGGGACTGAAGGATGAAGAAATGGCAGAAGGAGGGGTCAGTATTGGGCTAGCGTAAGGAGCAGCTGGCAGGGGTTAATGTTAACAGAGAGAGCCGTGGAAGATGGCACTGGAATGCAGCTCTGTGGCCCTGCAGCTCTCTGAGCTTCCCCATTTACTCCTAGCACCCAAAGAACATGCTCTGTGCACCTCTACAAAGCAGTTCCTAAGAGGAACTTGCCTGGCAAAAAGCAAAGATGCTGCCCCAGCCCAGCTCGGGCTCACAGGTCCTGTCTCTGCAGGACACACAAGCAATCCTTTAATCACGGAAGAAATTTCGAGAGACTTATTAGCGTTCCCAGATTTAAACTCTGCCCCCAGAACATACAATGATGCCCATCATGATCGCTTGGCTGGTTACATTCATGGCTGTTCATTAAGGTGGCATGATACCCACTCACATGGCAGCAACTATTTTCACTGTGTTAAACTGCCAGGAAAAATAGGTCTAGAAGAGTAATTTGCACAGTGTTGCAAGCCCCTGCTCCTCTGGAGAATGACATTTTTCAGTGCTTTATGAATACACTGTATCTGTTCTAACAGCCCTTGGCAAACTACACTTCTCCAAAAACATCACTGGGAGCAGCAGACTGACCTAAATGAGAGGTACGTAGTGCTGAGACTGTGTTTCCCAAGCAGCACAAGTCATAGCATCACAGAGATTTCACATGCATTATGGCAATCTATGTCACCTGTGGGATGCCCATCTTTGTTTTACAGGACTTCTCTAAGCACCAATCTGCCAAAAAGCACCCATGAGCCATGGGCTCCACCTTGAAAGGCCTCCTTTCATATGGCAACATAATGCATCTCAGATGCTGCATCCACTCCAACATTAATTCAGAGTCTTCAGCTGCAGCCTGTTGGATTTGGGTGTACATTTGTTGCAGGTAGTTACTGTAACAGTGATGCTGCCCATGTACTGGGACAGCCACGTGGTTCTGACAAGCGAGATTTCCTGCTCAACCCCATAATCAACTAAGAAAATGGAGATACCTTGTGGCCAAGCAGCAATCTGATCTTGAACAGTTGTTTATTCTTTGTTTTCCTTCATGCCTGCGTCAGCTCTGCAGTTTCACCCCAGCCTACCACCTGGCTCCTACTGGAAAGCAAAGAATGAGCATTAGGTCCATGATGCCCTCCCTTGGACTTCCCAGAGATCACTGTGGCTTTGCCAAGCTTTATAAATGAGGTGGCATTCAGGAAGATGAGCAGTCACTTCTGAGCAGTCAGTCTGTCAGCCCCCATATCAGAATTCTCCTTCAGAGATATTTAATCAAAACACTCCAAAAAAGTAAGAGTGTAGATACTGCAACCATGAACTGCAAACATTCACTGAAGGAAGAAGATACTCGGATCAAGCAGATTGCACACTGCGTGTGACAAAAAACAGCTGCAGGATAAGCAGTCACACCCAGGCAAGTTTATAACAATGTTTTTATTAGTCTTACAGAAAGTGCATTAATGTACACATGGGCAGTATCCATAACAACATATGCTTCTGTGATTTCGGCAGATTTTGGTGCCTTGCAGTGTGTTATTTTACTTACAGTCAGTCCTATAGGCTTTTTCTTGGATGCGTAACACCATTCTCCGAGCATAAAAATCCCTGTATTCCTCAGGTAGTTCTTCAAGTGTTTTCAGGGCTCTGTCCAAGATTTGCATAGCTCTAGAGGCTGCGGTGGGATCCTTATTTCCGTAAGTGTCATTTTTATCATAGCAGTTAGAGGGAAGGTGCTTCCAAAAGACATTCACTCCCACTCCAAATTCCTCAGAAATTACGTTATGGAACCACAAAGCTGTCGAAAGAAAAATGTCTAAAATGAAAATTAATATATAAAACTTCCGAGTGATTCATAACAAGCATCAGAATCAGCCAAACTAAATCTAGTTGAGGAAAAGCCTCAATGACTTTCTTATTTATAAAAATAAAATCATGCCTCTGAAAGATTGCATTGTAACAAATTTTAGAAGTTCTTAACGATGTTTACATCTATCTCTATAATTTTATGTAAAAGTAACAATCACTGAAGTCTAAAGTGGTACTCAAATACACAGATAAGTGTGTGTAAGATGAGACACATTCCTGGTTCGTTCATCTCCTACTCTTAATCTATATATGTATTTTAAATGAATGAGTCCCTTACCTTGCACAGGTTGTCCAAACCCTAACGCAAACCTCCAGTATCAGTCAAAATCTTTAAAAAATGAAACATGAGTGAGAGCTACTGGTTACTTACCTGGAATAAATAATACATCTCCTGCTTCCAGGTAACATTCGTAGCGCTTAGCTTTCAGGAAAAGAGGGTATTTCTCAAAGTCTGGATTATCCACATCCAGCACCTCTGATTTAGAGCCTTAGGAAAGTTTTCAAGAAACAAGAAACATTCTTACACTCCCAAACAGTAATAAAGTATTAATAAATTACTAGAACTGCTAGTTCTTCAATCAGATATAATACTGTTTTATTGCTCTATAACTCTTCTAAAAACATGGCAAATTTGATGGCACTTCTTATTTACTGAGGAGACACATTCTTTTGTTGTCTGCTTTTTTCCAGTAGCTGCAATCTTACTAACACTACAGAAAATTTCCTCTGACATTTAAAATTCCATTTCAAACCCAGGCAGAGCACCGCATTCCTCCTCAGTTAGGTGGTAGAATCACAACCTGACAGAGAAGGTGGGCTGGCTGTACTGCCCCTTTGCACATTTCCTAACCTGCCCCACTAAAATTCCTTATTTTCGCCAACAGCACCAGAGTAAAGACAGTAAGTGAAATCTTTTACACAAAATTGCCAGTCAGTGATTTTTTTCTTCCTGTAGCACAGTACTAGTCAACTGGAAAGGTAACTATGGTCACCAAATTCTGAACTAGATGTATGTAATATACATACCTGATAAATATAAATAAGGTGCATCTTGAGGACTATACAAGACAACTCGCTTTTTCCCTGTTACTTGGATTAACAAATTATCCATTACCTGGAATGAGGATAGTTAGAGAGATGTCAGCCAAGAGTTAAGAATGAATATATAGTCTCCAAATAATCTAAAATATCATCAGCATAAAAAGTGAAATATTAAAATCTTTACGTGTTAAGAATTAACTGAAAGAGCATCTACATATACAATGAATCCATCCAAAAAATTAAGAATTTCTGCTATTTTATCCCTTAACTGCATTTTTTACAGACATCATACATATAAAAAAGGATATTTTCCAACAGTCATATCTTTTTTTTTTCTTACAGAAGAATCATATTCTTGATCTTAAAGCATAAAAACATACTGTGTTTTAAATGCAAAAAAACAGAAAAAATAAAATGAATAATACATTTGAAATTCCTCAGTATTCATTCTACTTTATTTTGCTGACTTTTTATCAATATTTGTTTTTCCCCAACTATAACACAAAAAGTACATTTTTACAACCAAATTTATTCAAAAGTACACTGCATGATTTTACAAGATAATCTTATTTATAATCTGTTACACTGCAGCAACAGACTATGTAATTATCTACAGTTTTGTCTTCAGATTGAAAAATGAAGGTAATCTTTAGGATAAAAATGTTAAAACTTACCTTGTTTTAGATTTTTAACTGAAATTCAAAATGAAACAGTAAAGAATCAAACAACTTTTATTCTATTCAATATGGAATTTCAGGATTAGACATAGAAGCAGTAAGATATTATGCCCACACAATACCTCTATTTAAAATTTACTACACAGAACATGAAGCAATTCAAGTGTTCCACAATATGCAAAGTGACTCATAAAAGATCTCTGTCAACAGAGATTTGCTACTTAGTATTTCAATCCTGCGCGATTATCTGCAACCTTTATGGA